AAAAATCATATACAATGTGATTCACATTAAACATCTGCTTTCTATAAATCATTTATACCTATATTACAAAGACATGTATGCTACAATAGTTCAGTCGTGTTGTTGTGAACAAAATATGTTCCTCTCGTTCCGTTATAAAACTCACCCRCAAATAAATATATTACCTAGGTAAAAATATTATAGTCCATGTTTAGTTAAAAAGTGAAACAATTTATTAGGCATATAAAAATATTTGTAAAATAAAATCTCTATTTTATTTTAAAAAAATATATAAAAATGTATATTTATACATAGGAATCATTTCTAGTGATTTTTTATTTCAATATAAAAATTTACTATTACATCAAACAAATCTCGTAATCACGAAAATTGGATGCAATTGTCGGGGGTAAACTGTTATCTTTGTCCATTACCCTCTCGATTTTATCACTCAAATGTCCTCAACACAATATATTTACGAATTTATGTGACGTGGTATTATGTAAACAGTCTACATTAATTATTTGCGTCACTRGAGTATAATATTAGTGTATTTTCGTCATTATATATGTTTGCTCGCGTTTGTCTCCGAATAGAGGACCTTATAGGTCACTGTGWGTTTGAAATATTCTTAAAGGAAAATCACTATAGCAATAATAACATCATGTTGTTTTCRAAAGCGAACTGAGTTTGTTTTTTCATACTTAAACGCTTGTATTGAACGAGATGGASAAGGTGACACCTGACGTGAATAAACAGAGGGTTTCAATAATTATACGTTTTGAGTCGAAAATGGCTCAAAGCTCAAGATAATATTTAACGATCACATTTAACGTGGACGCGTGACGTAAGATACAAAATAGTGGTGATGAGTACAGGATACAAATATTACGAGTATATTATATGGTCGAACTCGGATCCGGACATTTCGGCGTGGGTCTATTTCGGCGTATAGTCATTTTTTTCATAAAATTATTTTAATCGCGTTTAGATAATGTAATGTTAGCATTTATCTCACTTTCGTCGGTGCCGTATGAACTGTATATAATAATAATAATAATAATAATATATATTATACTGTCACACATCATAATCTATATTACGGTATAAGTAATAAAGATATAGGTAGTTAACCTATACGATGTATCGATAGACGATAATTGAGTAATATAAGATAGTCAAGTATTTAGAAGTCACCATGGCACAAGCAATCAAAATTTTAATAAGTGTTTAATAAGGAGAATACAAAGTGGTCGAAACCCCTTCTTTTGCAGATAGAAACAGGCAAAAGTCCATAAAAAAAATATATATCGACGTTGATAAATGTATTTTAAAATTAGTCAGCGATTATGATAATCGTAATATTATGAGTTTTTTAAGAGGAATAGCACATAATTTAAGTATGATGACCTGAATATTTTTATAGCATTCTCTTAAATATATCTAATTATTATATACAGTTTTTATACAAAAATAATAATAAAATAAATATAATGTTTTCTCTTTATTTTAAATTATTTATATATTTATATTTTATAGTGGCCTACCTAATTTCTTAAATTGGCCTTACGGCCATACGCCGAAACGACCCTACGCCGAAACGACCCTACGCCGAAATGGCCACGCCGAGATAGCCACGCCGAAATGTCCTAGACCGGGTCGAATTATATAGAATACAATGTTAGTATACGATGATAGTTACCTACGCTTTGAATTTRTTTTTTGAATTCATATCTAAAAGAGTGTAAAAATAACATAATCACGGAGTCTAAATAAGTGAAATTAAAACTGTGAAATCGAAAATAGCGAAATAATATACAAAAAAGTGTTAAGCCAATTATTATATTATTATAAGCATTTTTTAATTCACCCCTTTTGGGCACTCATAAGTCTGCATGAAATGGGAAGGACTTGGTGTTGTAATAAAAGGGAGCCGTTTGGAATTGCATATTCCTAAAATGGTAGACCAAAGGGCTCCAACAATAATTATATTATTGAACAATCACATAATAATAAGCCCAAAAGAGGTGAATTAAAAAATGCTTTGGTGGTTTTTCATTTTATATGAAAATACAACTATGTCGACTGTATAAAGTTTGATTAAAAAAAAAAATCATATTATAAATCTTAAATTTATATTCCTGTTAAGAGTGTTAAGACATTTCGTTATTTGAGTTCAGGCAAATTTAACAAATGGTACATTTACACATAACATGATACATACATACAAAGCATATATTACCGCTATGTTTCTATGACTTATGTATGTAATATACAATATTTGAGTACCTACCTAAGTATTAGATTGTAGTTAAGTAAAATAAATATATTAATCTAAAAAAAAAAACGATAAGGATTTTATAAAACCTATTAAAAAGAAATACTACTTATCACTCATCCTTCCCCTTTAAATTTCCATTTCAAATAATTTCGTGTGCTTAATTTTTGGTAACAGATAAGGCTCCAAAGTTTATAATATATTAGTTAAACAAACAATATTACACGCATATATTACTTATTCTATACCTCTGCGAGTTATGATTAAATGTTTTATAACCAGGTAGATGTTGGACATGGTAATATTATTATGTAGTGAACTGATCGTGTAATACAATTTAGATAAAAAAGTATTATATAACACATTGATTAGCATATAATAATATACAGGTGTGTGCCGTTACCCGGGCCACGAGTCATTTTTATAACTTGTTTAGCTAGTTCAATAATTATAATGGTTCTGGTCCAGTTATCAGATACTATCTGTTATTGTTACTTAGGCAGTAGAAATCACGCATCATGTCACTGGTTATAATATAATAAATATAGTTTAGGAAAAAAAATAAAAAGTGATTTGGTCAGAGTATGCCAGATTTGAGGTCACCTTCACTTAAATGCGGAAAACCAATGATAATTACAGTTTTACCCGTTTGCCTAGACATCACATTATGTATATAATATATGATTCATAATATTCTGAGATAAAAAATGGTTTTTAAGAGAAGAGGACCACGATTACCAAGAATACTGATTGTATAAAATATTATCAAAACAGTTAGTTATAATAATTATATTATATTAACAACAAAATCATAAAAAAAAATATATATATATATATTTTATAAAAAGTCTACATATAATTATGATAATAATATTTCGTATATTACGATTTACATAAATGATAATTATAATATTTCATATGTTATGATTTAAAAATTATAAACAATAAATAACGAGTTTTCG